TCCATCGATATAGAGGTCCCAGGTCGATAGATTCTGAATGGTTTCATAGGTGACTTCGCTGGTCTGTTACTCAGATACTTTAACTAGTTGGTATGAGAACTCTGAAATGAAATCAGCAACAGCCTGCCCTTTGATGGTCGCTTTCGGTCAGTACTACAGATCGAACTGATTCAGTTCCATCGCTACTTGAGCAACTTACCTGAAGCCTCTGGTTTCTAGAGGACTTGCTTAAGCAGATAGTTAGTCAATACATGGATTGTGTGGGCGTGAAAATAAGGTCGCAACTTCTTGGAGGCTATTAGCAGGGCATAAGCTAATCGCTCCATTTCTAGATACCATATTTTGACGTCCAACAGACGTCTGCTCGCATAATATACTAGTCATTGGACCGTGTCTTCTTCCTAGATTAAAGCTACACTGACTGCATGTTGAGAGACGGATAGATACAAGAGAAGAACTTCCTGAGGGAGAGGCTTGGACAGAAGAGGTGGCTTTCCAAGGTGCTTTTTAATGCTCTGGAAAGCCTGTTCGCATTCGGGAGTCCATTTGAACTTCTTATTGGCCCTGAGTATGTTAAAAAATGGCAAACAACGATTTGTTGCCTTTGATATAAAACGACTGAGAGCCGTTATTCGCCCATTAAGACTTTGAACCTGTTTTCGGTTGGTCGGGCTTCTCATATCAAGGAGAGCTTGGATCTTTTCAAGGTAGATTTCTATTCCCCTTTGGTTAACCATATACTCCAAGAATTTTTCCGAGAATACTCCGGACGAACACTTGAGAGGGTTGAGCTTCATTATGTACCTTCAGAGTATACCGAACATCTCAACGAGAAGCGTTATATGATTTGAAGCAACATGCGATTTGACCAATATGTCATCAACATAGACTTCCATTGATTTTTTTATCTGCTTGGAAAACATTCGGTTAACCAGTCGCTGGTAAGTCGCCCTAACGTTCTTTAGGTCAAAGGCATAACCTTATAGCAATACAACCCCTGATCTGTAACAAATGAGATATGCTCTTCGTCTGGTGCATACATCGAAATTTGATTATATCCCGAGTAGACGTCCATAAAATTTAGTAGCTCATGCCCGAAGGTGGCATCAACGAGCTGGTTGATTCTCGGCAAGGGAAAGTTGTCCTTCGGACAAGCTTTGTTGAGGTCGATGAAGTCAACGTAGGTTCACCATTTGCGGTTAGACTTCTTTACCAAGACCGGGTTGAAGACCCAACTCGAGTAGAGTGCCTCTCAGATGGATCCGTTTAAGAGGAGATTATCTACCTTGACTTTCAAGGTGGTATATCGCTCAAGATCCATTGCTCTTCTCTTCTGGCGGACCGACCTGACCTCAGCATCTATATTCAGGGCATGACATATAATATACGGGATGATCCTGACATGTCAGCATGAGTCCATGCGAATATGTCAGTATTTTCTCTGAGGAAACTGGTCAGGTTGTTAGCAAGCTGGGGGTTGAGATTACTTCCGATTCTTAACACTCGGCTCGGCTCGCTTTGATCGACTGATACCTCAGATAGGTCCTCGATCGGCCCGCTGCAAGGGCATTCCTAGATGCGAGGATCCATGTTATCCTCAACTGGGCCAAGCTATCGCTCGATCCTGCTGATCGTCATTGCCTGCTCAGGGATCCCAACTAGAGCTCCTTTTTCCTTACACGTCATCTGTACTGCCCTTACATAGCAATCGCGAGATGTGCGTTGAGATCCACTTACTTCCCCTATCCCCGTCGGGGTAGGGAACTTCATCTTTAGATGGTAGATTGAAGTGACTACTTTAAAGCTTTGCAGTAGAGGTCGTCCCAAGATGCTATTGAAAGTGGATGGACAGTCCACTACTAAGAATTCAGTCATTTGGTCATCTCGTTGGTCTCTCCCAACGTGACTGGGAGCGAGATCGTCCCTTTGGGAATCAAATAATCCCCGGTGAAACCATACAGAGGGATAAAGGCAGGTTTCAGATTTGCCTCGTCCAGTTTCATCTTCTCAAAGGCTCGCTGGAACAAGTGTTCACGATGCTTCCATTGTCCACTAACATTCTGTGGACCTCGCACCATCTTATTTCAGGCGTGATGACGAGAGCATCATCGTGGGGATGATACAATCGCACCGCGTCTCTCTTAGAGAAGGTGATTTCCTCATCTCTATGAACCTTTGCAGGTTGCAGTGTCATGCTCATCACACTTATAGAGTCATGACGGGCTGCGCAAGCATACCTTTCATGGGCACCTCGAGAATTCCCTACGAGGTGTGGTCCCCCCAAAGATGATCCCCACACAGTAGAGACTTTTGCGACCACAACGCTTCTTTCCCGGTTCCTCTTGATCTTTCTCTCGAATAGGGGTAGAATCATCAACATACTCTTAGAAGTGCCCCTGCTTAATGAGGTCCTCAATTGGTTGCTTGAGGGCCCAACACTCATCGGTGTGGTGCCCATTATCCCGATGATACCGACATTATTTTTTATTGTTTCTGGCTGAAAGGGGATTTTTCATGGGCTCGGATTCCTCGAGCAAGCTGGCCTCCTCTGATTTATCCAGAATAGCCAATACTGAGGCATTCAGAGGAGTGAATTGACTCTTGTCGCGATCGCGATGAGGAACTAGGGCATATGATTTCTTGGGCTCATACCGCTGCTTCTTTCCTCTTCGCTGATTGTCATTAGCCCATCGACGATCAACCCTCCTATTCTCCCCCCGGTCAAGAGCACTGCCCAAAGGGCCGGGGTCGCGGTGGTTAAGCGCAGCCATGGAGTTTTCAATGCAGAGGTACTTTTCAGTAAGGTTGTAGAAGCGAGTGAGGGAAACATCATCCTCAGATTGCAGTTCCTTCCACAAGTCTGTATGCAGGCAAACTCCTGCAATGATGAGAGTCTAAACAGACTCTTCGGGAGTGTGAGCCACTTTGTCGAGCTCTCTGTGGAATCCTTCTATATAAGCTCAGAGGGATTCATCCCTCTCTTGCCTTATGTTGCTCAGGTAGCTTAGAGGCATCGAGAACTTCCTGTTTGCCTGGAAGTGCCTTAGGAATGTCGAGCTCATTTGAGGCCACGAGCTAACCGATCCTGCTGGGAGCGACCTAAACCATCACTTGTTATAGGAGGTAAGGGTCACCGCCAAGCAACGACATTTTGTCAAGTCAAAGTTTTGGTGGAGTTCCATGAGGTCGTTGAACTCGTACAAATGATCCTGCGGATCAGAGTTCCTATCGAACGCTCGCATGTCGGACATTTTAAATTTCAATGGTAGGGGGGCAGCTAACACTGCCGGAGAAAAGGGAGACGCCTCTGCGACCTGCCTTTGCTCATTTTGTTGAGCCTTAAGCTGATCCAGAGCTCGTTGTAGCTCCTCAATTTAAGGCAGCGGAGCTACCTGGGGATCACTTTCCACAATGCAGGTTCGACCCTTGTGGTTGCGGCTAAGGAAAGACCGCAAATCGAACTCTTTCTCACCTCGGTCGGAAGCTTCGGCCAATCTCGGCACACACTGGCTAGAGCCGTGTGACTGCATCAAGTTGTTTAGGGAACCTTCCTAACCTTCGCGATTGTACAAATCGACCCACAGATAGTGGGAATCCCCTACACGACGACGATCGAAGTTGTCCTTTTGGCAATATTGGGAATCTCCCCGCCTTGCACTTTTGTGGGAGTGCTCATGCGACGTGGCGTGGGATGGCTCATGCTGCGACATATTGCCGAGTCATAATGCCACGGGTAGTCTACCTGGGGCGCGATCGGTGTTCTCTATCGGAGCCCTTAGGTCCGCTATGCGCCACTTGCTTTCCCTTTCTCTGATGCACTGCAGTGTGCGCGATATGGGCTTCCACCCTTTTCCGCACTTTCACGCGACCTACAAGTGTTTTCAGCAGTGGAACCGCCTCATTGGATTCAGGTGGCATGACCCAACTCAGCCAGTCTAACCTTTGGTTGACTGTTTGGAGAGTATTATTGAACCTCTCTAAGTAACTCATGACGATCGAATCAAGCCGCGAGCTTGAAGGGATATCCCCTATGATGTTCTGCCAGATTGGCGGCACTTCGGGAGAAGTGTCCTCTTCCTGAGGCATCTCTTCATTGTCATAATTGGTTCGATCAGATTCAAAACCGCGAGCCATTTGCTGTTGTGGGACCGATTAGTCAGAGATTTTTTCTGATGAAGAGCAGGTACTAAATTAGACCCTCCTTCTAACGCCGAACTGTTGATGCTTGATTTTGACACCAATTATTCACACGTGAGAAATGCTAAGCGGACTTAGAAGTCACATGTGATATGGAAATATTTGGTTAAATAAAAGGTGGGAAGCCATGTTTAAGGTGGTTCAGATGCTCTAAAGCGAATCCTACGTCCACTTATATTGTATTAATGAATAAGACCAGGTCGCATTAAGTGAACTGTGTTATAGCTTAGAGAATACAAGGGAGAGAGAGTAAACCATTCTAGAGTGAGATTAGCTAAAATAATCATCCCGCAAATGAGAGGGAAGCCCTCTATTTAGAGTGGAATAAACCAAGGTCATGATTACTAATTCTGCAAGTGGGGTGGATACTGTGCAAATCATTCTCTACATCTCATTGCTCACCTGCTTGAGTGATTTCCTCAACTTATGCAAGGATTGGACACGTGGACAATATCCAACCATTCACTAGCCTGACGCTCACCCACTGCACTGACAGGAGCATGTCACTTACATCATTATGCGCCGTAGGTGCGCATGAATAGTCGCAGAACTTTCCCAAGTTCTGACTATCCCATGCTGACAAGGCGCCTTACTTTTTCAAGCATAATAGAAATGATAAAATAACAATAATAATAATAATAATTTAGAACTCGTATATAAACCTTGAGTCATCGTTTGAACATACTGCCAAATTGTCATAAATCCAGATAACTTCCTAGCAATTTCCTATAGGACTTTGTAAAGGGAAAATTTTTCTCATGACTTTTAAAAGCATAATGTTGACTGAATTTAATAAGGGGAAGACTTCTGAAACCCCATTTCTGGTTATTTTCATTCTGCTGCCGATTTTGTAACCAATCTCTCTCAAACTCAGGCTCACGTTTTCTTCATCTTGATCCGCTAATTGGCCGTGCACAGGTGAACTCCTCTGCTTCTTAATTTTGCTTTGTCTAGCATGCAATTTTCTTTCACTTGTTCTGTTCCTTACGTTCTTAAAATGCTTCATGCTCCATAGTTGGATTAATGAAGTTAAAAGAATTTCTGGGTTTGGGGACAGGTGAGATGGTTTCATGTTTAAAAGTATGCAAGTATCAGAAAAACACCGATCGAAAACAAAGAAAAGCATTGATGTTGGAGAATGGAAAACTTTTACTTGAAAAGTTGATTGTCACTTGTAATGGAAAATCTAATCCAATCCGTGGCTTCTCCATTGAAGAGCTCAAGACGGCAACAAACAACTACGCACAGAAAAATATAATATCTATTGGCGGTGGTTATACATTGTTTAGGGGATTTCTGCAGAACCGTCAAGTTTCCATTATGAAGTTCCGTGTAAGGGGGCCATCTAAACACTGCTTATGGTTAAATAATGTTGTATTCACATCACAAATGAGACACAAAAATATTTTGAAGTTGATTGGATGTTGCTTAGAGACTCAATTACCCATCCTGGTTTTTGATGATGTCAAGTATGGGACTTCTCCCTTTTTTGAGCCTTTGCTATTAAGACATAGGATAAAGATTGCAATGGAGATAGCCAATGCAGTGACATATCTTCACATCGGATTCTCCAGGCCTATTGTGTTTAGGGATATCAATTCATCGCACATCTTATTTGATGAAGACTATGTTCCCAAACTCTTTAATTTTTCACTATCTGAGTTTATCCCAGAAGGTGAAACTCATGTAAGAGGTATCGTTGTAGGAACATCAGCACATCTAGCACCTGAGTATTTATATACAGGTGATTTCAATGAGAAGTGCGATGTTTACAATTATGGTGTATTGCTACTTGAGCTTTTGACTGGTAAGAGACTCCATGATATTCTTGCCCATTTTGAGTTTTGCAGTGTGCATTCTGTGAAGGATAGGTTGCAGGAATATATTGACAATAATAGGTTCAATGAGATAGCAAATTGTAAATTTGCTGGAGATGGTTTATGCCATGGAAATGAACAACATCTGCAAGCTTTTCTAGAACTGGCCTTCACATGTCTCTCTGATTCAGAGGAAGATAGGCCAAACATGATTGATGTGGCAAAACAACTGAGGCAAATGCATCAATCCAGTTAATTATCAGATTTTTCTTAATTTCATGTCATGTAATTTAGGGGGGGTGGTGCCTTTCCCTGTTTATGAATCATTTCCTTTTATGTTATGTAATGTATGAATCTTACTATTTCATGTCTTAAATTTTTCTCATAGAATTAAACAGTTGCAATCGTTTACTTTAATGTATAGATTATGCCTCTCATCTTTTACTTGTTTTCTTAAATTATGAAGAAAAGGTATTCAATGGAAAACTTAATTTTTTTTTTAATTAAATTCATTGCAACCAAGTAGATTCAGTAATGAAACAAGTGGTCAACTTGTATTTTAATTCTCACCCCATGTGGGTCATTGCCTTAAATTCAACAGCTAAGATGTGAAACTCTCTCTCTATTCATTTCTAAATTATTTATAAAATCATAACAATCTCTCTCTCTCTTTTCTCTCTTTCTTCTTCACAATTTCATCATCTCCAAATGAAGAATCAAGTTCCAGATTTCTGTGTTTTCATTCTTTGTGTTCTTTCCGGAACAGTTTTAGCCAAAGTGGACCATTTTTACAAAGCCTGCAGTGTGCGCGAAACTTGTGGCGATGGACAAACGATAACCTTCCCATTTTATATCCGGGAAAAACAACAACCCTTCTGTGGCTATCCTGGATTTGAAATCTCCTGCAATAGCAACGGAAACCCAGTTCTGAACTTAAACAATATCGACTACATTATCCACGAAATCTCCTACAACAACCAGTCTGTTCGCGTGTCAAACGCCGCAGTTTCTGAAACAAATAACTCTAACGCTTCTTGTATAGATCTCTCCAGTCACCGAATCCAAAACTTGTCTCTTCCTGAGGACCGCTTTGCGCTTCTTTCTTACCAAAGTGAACTCGTTTTGCTATACAATTGCAACTCTTCATTGCCTGGGGAACTTTTACGGTACAGAGATGGTATATGTGAAGTTAAGAACAAAACTGCAGGAACAGTTTTGGCGCTGGTTAGCAATGATGCTAACCTGGTAAATGCTTCCAGGGAATGTAGCGGTGACCTGGTGGTGGCTCCGGTGGACGTGTATGCCGGAAACGGCGGTGGTTTTGGGATTGGAGAGGTGATAAAAAGTGGGTTTTTGCTTAACTGGACAGCAAGTAATTTTAGTGTCTGTGAAGAAAGTGGTGGCAGGTGTGGGTTCGATGCTTCCACTTATCATTTCAAGTGTTTCTGCACGGATAGGCCTCATGCTCAGCAGTGTGATCCAGGTATGTTTTTCAGGAATTCACGATTCATCTTAATTATCAAATTCTTCCTTTAATGTTATGGTGTATTTTGCAGTCAAAGCTAATGGCCTTATCACAAAAGTTGCTATAGGTAATACAGCCTTCAACTCCTCCTCCTAAAAACAGTACCCTGTTTCCTGTCAGCTCTGTTTTTTGGTGGCATCACAATTGATGATTCCTTTCTTTGATTGCAGCGATAGTAGCCACTGCAATTGGCATGTTGATCTTTCTAGCTTTCTGCTTTAGGAAAATTTTTTTATCGAATAACTACTTGGTCTTCTGGAAGAAGAAAACTAAGAATTATCAAAACATTGAGGTCTTTTTGAGGAACTATGGAGCCTTAGCTCCTAAAAGGTATAGCTATTTACAAATTAAGAAGATGACTAATTCATTCAAGCATAAACTAGGTCAGGGAGGCTATGGAGGCGTTTACAAAGGTAGCCTATTTGATGGTCGTACTATAGCAGTGAAGGTCTTAAGTGAATCGAAAGGTAATGGGGAAGAATTTATCAATGAGGTGGCTAGCATTAGTGGGACTTCTCATGTTAACATAGTCACCCTTTTAGGTTTTTGTTTTGAGGGTCATAGGAGAGCTCTTATCTATGAGTACATGCCTAATGGATCACTTGAGAAGTTCATATATGAAAAAAATCAATCGGACACAGATCGTAAGTTGAATTGGGAAACATTGTACAAAATTGCAGTTGGCATAGCTCGAGGATTAGAGTATTTACACCGCGGTTGCAACACAAGAATTTTGCACTTCGACATAAAGCCTCACAACATTCTCCTAGATGAAGACCTTTGTCCAAAGATCTCTGATTTCGGTCTAGCTAAAATTTGTCCAAAAAAAGAAAGTATAATATCAATGACAGGTGCACGAGGAACTATTGGTTATATTGCTCCAGAAGTGTTTAGCAGAAACTTCGGTGAAGTCTCTCACAAGTCAGACGTTTATAGCTATGGAATGATGGTTTTAGAAATGGTCGGAGGAAGAAAGAATATTGATGGTACAGTTGATCATACTAGTGAATTATATTTTCCACATTGGATTTACAACCATCTTGAACTTGATGAAGAAATAGGACTGCAAGGGGTCGTAAATGAAGAGGATAGAGAATATGCAAGGAAGATGATAATAATGAGCTTGTGGTGCATACAGACTAAGCCCTCAGATCGGCCAACAATCAGTAGAGCAGTGGAAATGTTGGAAGGGAGCCTTGATTCCTTGCAAATCCCACCCAAACCTTTCTTTACTTCTCCAGAATCACCCGCAAGCGATTCTTCAGCCCCACTTGTATGCTAGCATTGTAATTCAATGATATTGTATCAAATTACCCTTTTTTATAAATTGTATTACTCTGTTAATGAATTAGTAAAACAGGCAATTTAATGATCCTGCTGAGATTAATCTACAAATTTAGTCAAGGTTGGGGGCTAGCTACCCGAGTACACATGACTCTTTGACTTGTTCCAAAATCTGTTCTCACCACTCTTTTCAATGGAAATTGTCCATATGTTTCCTCTAGTTGGTCTCGTTTACTTTGAGGTCAACTATTAATGGCTTTAGTTGAATCCATCAACCATTCATATAAAAAGTCCCTTCTGCCAAACTTTCAACTTCAATTACTAACTGAACTCGCATACACGACAATTCCTCTCAGTGGCCAGAAGAGCATCCTACCGACATGATCTCATGTTTAAATATTAGGAGTTAAGGGATTTGATGAGACTATACATCTTAACCACATATTCTATCGCTCGTCCTACCACTTGAACTATCTAAGAGTGACAAAGTAAAAGTTTAACAAATAAGTGGGCAAAAATGTAAAAATAACTTTTAATTAAACCTACTTTAATTAATTCCCATGGGCATCATTTCAACAATCTCGTTAAATTTCATGGTGAAAGATCAATAAATTAATTAATCAACAGAAGAGCAATAATAGCATCCACATATTTGAAAGTCCAATAATTTAAATGAAAATAAAATCTAATAAAATTAATTGCCTCGTACGTGATCTTTTGTCATTAAACTATATCGAGCAGTAATAATATTTAAAATATAATGTTATTAATCTATTAAGTGCAAAGTATTAAATAAAATTAAAAATTTTCTGTTACGTGGATCAATACATACCTATCAATTAACTAATTAATTACTGAATTTGTCCCTCTCTTACCAACACAAAAGCCGCCCAACCTAACCTAATTTCTAACCATTGTCACATAATTAATATGTGGGCACTCTTATAATAATTACAAAGACCTTTTATAATCACATTACCAACCCCTTTCATAATTCTTAAAATATTCATTTATTAATTAATATCTATTTAAAACATTTAATATATATAAATATACATATATATTCTCACATTTATATTTGCTCAAAATGTGAGCGAATGTATAGTGAATCTCAAATGCGGACATCTTTAAATCTTTAACGTGCAGATTAAGGGTGATTATTAAGTCATTAACTTCAGAAACCCTAAGAGAAAAGCTAACAACTAAACACTTTCAGTACATTAAAAATTTCAGAATTTTTCCACATTTAGGTTTCATTTTTGTTGGGGGGGTGATGACAGGAAACACGAGTTGCAATGGAAGCCGATAAAGCTAGTTAGGTATTATTTACTAATACCCACAAAATACACATGAGATTGAGAGATATTTATGTTAATATAGATGGCTGAAGTGTGATGAATGTTCAAAAAGCCATAGTTGAATCAAAAATTCATGTTTACCATCAACGCTACCCGAGTACTGTAGACACCCATAAAAGTATATGTATAGTTTGAAACAGTGTGCATTGTTGACCATACTTGATATATATGTGGAAGACCTCTGAAACCGGGTTGGAATTAACTAGACACCCTCCACTTCCTTTTTAAAAGCAAGCTTAAAACCTGTAAAAAGACAAACATCATTTCAAGCTCCTCTTCTCTAGTCATTATTAGGGGTGAGCAGTTCCGAGTACCTTGCACTTTTCGGGAGAACCAAAACCGCACAGTACAGGTTCTTCAATTCAAGGAATCGGAACCTAAAATACAGGTTCCGGTTCTTTTCCCGGGTATCCTGTAAAAAATCAATTACCGCCCTATTAGTTTAAAAAATGATAAAAATACTTTAAAAGTTTATAAATACACCCCTAACAAATTTTGATTATTTATTCATTTGTGTCCAATGTAACTCATAACCTGTAATCTCTAGGCAACACTTGAATTCAATCAATTTATCACAATTCATATAAGATTCGTCAATCAAAACTAAAACACAAACAATTATTCATCACAATTCAAAATTATAATGTAATGTTAAAATTAATTAAGTGATCATACTATAATGTAATGTTATAAATACTTATAATTATTTAAGTAGTTATTTAACAATAATATAATGTTATAATCAATTAAATTTCTAATAATTTAATTAATTACTTATGTTTAATGTTTATAATATAATGTCATAATTAATTAAGTAATCATTTAATTATGTAATGTTATAATTAATTAAGTGATCATACTANAGTCCAATAATTTAAATGAAAATAAAATCTAATAAAATTAATTGGCCGTACGCGATCTTTTATCATTAAACAATATCGAGCAGTAATAATATCTAAAATATAATGTTATTAATTTATTAAGTGTAAAGTATTAAATGAAATTAAAAATTTTCTGTTACGTGAATCGATACATACCTATCAATTAACTAATTAATTAATGAATTTGTCCCTCTCTTACCAACGCAAAAGCCGCCCAACCTAACCGAATTTCTAACCATTGTCACATAATTAATATGTGGTCACTCTTATAATAATTACAAAGACCTTTTATAATCACATTACCAATCCCTTTCACAATTCTTAATATATTCATTTATTAATTAATATCTATTTAAAAAAATTAATATATATAAATATACATATATATTCTCTCATTTATATTTGCACAAAATGTGAGCAAATATATAATGAATCTCAAATGCGGACATCTCCAAATCTTTAAAGTACGGATTAAGGGTGATTATTATGTCATTAACTTCACAAACCCTAAGAGAAAAGCTAACAACTAAACACTCTTAGTACATTAAAAATTTCAGAATTTTTCCACATTTAGGTTTCATTTTTGTTCGGGGGGTGATGACTGGAAAAAGCTACAGTTGAATAAAAAATTCGTGTTTACCATCAACGCTACCGGAGTACTGTAGACTACCCATAAAAGTATATATATAGTTTGAAACAATGTGCATGATATATATTTGTCAAATTAGTTGCCATATTTGGGAAAGAATACTATTATGCTAACCAGAATTTTCCATCATTGTTTGGCATGCCCTTTATTGATGCTAGATTTTGACACAAACTAAACGTACGTGTGAAATGCTGAGCTGACCCAAAGGACACACGTGAATGGGGGTACAGAAATGAGTAAAAGATGGAGAAACGACGTTTTTAAAGTGGTTCAAATGCTTAAACAAGCGATTCCTACATCTACTGATATTGTATTAATATAAAGGGTCAGGTCGCGTTCAACGAGCTGACTTACAAGTGATTACGAGTGAGAGAGAGAGAGTATATGTGCTATATTAGAATAAAATGAGCCAATCCCACAAACAGGAGATAGGCTCTCTATTTATAGTGGGATGTATTGAGGTAATGATTGCTAAATCTGGGAATGGGTCAGGTTGCCATGCAGATCCTTCCTTGTGTCCTTTTGTTTACCTGCTCGAGTGATTCACGCGACGCCTGCAGGGATTAGACACGTGGAGCGCCTCCAACCTCTTGTCATTCTGGCATGCACCCACTGCACTGGCATGAGCATGCTACTCATGTTACCACGCGACGTGGCTGTGTCTGAATGACTGCAGGACCTACCTAAAATCTGACCACTTGCATTGACAGGGCACCGCATCAGCCCTACTTTTCTAGGCATAACACCCTCAATTTTCTAACACCACATTAGAATTTAGAAGAACGATGTGTGTCTCAAGACATTAGAGTTCTGGTAGAAAAATGTTGACCAAACTTAATATATATGTGGAAAACCTCTGAAACCGCGTTGGAATTAACTAAACACCCTCCACTTCCTTTTTAGAAGCAAACTTAAAACCTGTAAACAGACAAACATCATTTCAAGCTCCTCTTCTCCAGTCATTATATCTAAACCGTGTCATAATCTCTCTTGGCTTGGTTCTTGGGATTTTCATAAAATATTAGACGGTTAATTGTGTCGTAGCCTCTAGTATTTCTATTTCTTTGGTTGATTTTGTTGTTGTGTACAGCGCCTGATGTTCAAAAATCTACCTATAGTTTATATTCAAAATCTTCCAAAATCTGTATCAAGTAAGTAGATTTTAACATGGGTAGTATTTTATTTTTAGGCGGAGTCCAATTTAGTCCAAATTATATAATATTTTTTTTACTTGACATGTATTTCAAATGCAATCTAAAGGAATAGCGAGAGATTTCTAATTGAGTCATATTAAGATATATAATGCTATTACTGATTGATGATATATAAAAGGTGGGACACTGTTTATGTTACTGGTGGACCGTGAAAGACTATGAATTATTGGAAGAACACTTAACATGTATGTTGAAGTTGTCGACTACCTCAGTATTAATGGGCTACGCAGACACATTCAGAGGTCTCGTTATTATATAACAAACAATAAGGTAAATTAAATTCATTGTAAACGAGAGATGTGAGATATTATTGCAATAATATTGACTCAGCTGAATGTAGCGTGCTAATCAGGTGAACCAAGGTAAAATCGTGTGTATTTCTTTTTTCTCTTTATTATTTATGGTTTGTCTGTTTACTGTTATTTTGGTCTTCGTATCTCACTATTCATTAAATTTAGCCCAAATATTGAAAGTTGAACTTAAAAATAATTTATAGCCGTCTGTTACGATCTGTATCGCAGGAAATGGAAAAGGCCTTATCAGCAAAGTCGCTCTAGGTAATGTTCTCATCAAATTCTTTCTACTAAAAGATGTACAGATGACAATCTCATATGTGGTTAGATGAATCTTTTCTCTTCTTGCAGCAATAGTAGCTACTGGAATTGTAACGTTGGTCATAATTCTAGCTCTTTGCTTCAGGAAAAAATTGTCATTGAAACTAACCGCCTTCTGGAAGAAGAAAACTTATAAACATCCGAACATAGAGCTCATCTTCAAGGACTGGGGATCTCTTCCTCCTAAAAGTTACAGTTCTTTAGTTATTAAGAAAATGACAAAAACATACAGCGAAGAACTAGGCAGAGGAGGCTACGGACGTGTTTATAAAGGCAGATTAG